TCTCTCTCTCTCTCTCTCTCTCTCTCTCTCTCTCTCTCTCTCTGACTTTTTGAGACAGGGTCTTCTTGTAGCCCCAGCTGTCCTGGAACTTGCTATGTAGACCAGGCTGGACTCAAACTCACAAAGATCTGCCTGCCTCTGCCTCCCAAGTGCTGTGATTAAAGGCGTCCGCCACCACGCCCGGCCTCTCTTTTTTTTTAAGGTATATTTTTAATTGAATTTTTGTATACTTCATAAAAAACATCTTAATCATTTTTATATGCCCTCCCCTGTCTGTACTCTCCACATCCCCCCACCACCAGATGTCTCTCAGTGCAAGTTCATCCACTGGAATCTAGTCAACCTATCTGGAGTCTTTCCCTTAAAAATCATCTCTCCCTTACCCAGCAGTTCTCAGCTTCTAATATTTGCTTAATGTTGGAGCCTGTTGCCCATTTCCCCAGTTCTATGCTAGGTTTTTGTCTGATTGAGTTTGCATGGGTCTTGTGTATGCTGACACCATTGCTGTAAGTTCGTAAGAGCAAGTTCCCAGTGACCTGGAAAACTGTTTCTTTATGATCATATGCAAAGCCTGGCTCTTATAATCTTCCCACCCCTTCTTTCACAGTGGTCCCTGAGCCCTGGGTGGGTGAGGTTTAATATAGGAGTCATATCTAGGGACACACAGTCTACAGACTCTTTATTCTCTACACTTTGGCCATTTGTGGCCTTCTGTGTACATTGCACTCTGTCGCATGAGGAAGCTTCACCAGTGAGAGTTAAGAGATGTATTAGCATTCTCTCTACCCCCTGTTATGCTATGTTTCATGAACCTTAGGTGTAGAGGTTCCGTTATAGATGGGTCACTTAGAGCTGAGCCTCTCTCTGACATTTATTCTCTGTGACCAGTTGTGGAACTCTGTGATAGTCTTTATCTATTGCAAGAAGCTTTTTTGATGAGTGGTGAATGGTACACTTGTCTCTAAATATAAGGATCCATATTTAGCATACAGTAAGAAATTACATTTGTCTTGAGATATGACAGAGACGGATTTTCTGTAGGATCTATGACGTCTCCAGCCATGTGTTTTTGACTGTTAAAATGCCACACATGAGTTCCCTCCCACTGAGAGGACTTTAAGTCCAGTTAGGTGCCTGTTGATTACCCCCAAGATGAAAGGTCCACCAATATAGTTGATATAGTTTGCTGCACCAGTCATCGTTGTGGTTATTAGGCTTTAAAGCTGGAGTTGGACCACTGATGGATTTTTATCCCTTAGCAGCCTGTAGTGTATCTTCCAGACCTATGAGAGGTAGTCTTCAGGGAGGAGGGTTCCAAGTCAGTTCCAGCTCCTTTGCTTCAAGTCTTATGTCTGAAGTATGTCCTGTCTTCAGCAATAAATCTTACCTTCTAGTTCTGGGAGGAAATCAAGGGCTGGGACAATAGCCTGTGTTATTTTGGGAGTCCCTTGGACTACCCTGACCAACAACTCGAAGGGAAGTTTCTCCTATCTGGCACTGTTATAGTTCCTTGTTCTTTGTTATAAAGCCTTCAGGTAGACATGCATTCATGTTCAAATATTGTATGTGTATTTTTTTCAGAAGACTTTTGAGCTCATACAGTTCCCTCTGGTTTTTCACACCACATAAGCTTTATTTCTCTCTCCTCTCTCCCTGTTAAAGTACCCCTATTTTTCCCCTTGATAATACCTGTCTCCTTTTATCCCGCCTCTTTTGAGCTTCTTCCCCTTTACCCCTACGGTTCCTTGTATATCCTTTCCTCCTCCCTTCCTCGTTTTCCTAGTTGAATACCCCAGTTTTATTACCCCAGTTTTCCCCTTGGTAACATCTGTTTCCTACTATCTCCCTCTTGACTCTTTCCTTCCATTTACCTCTATGGTACCTTTCCTTGGCTCTTGCTGTTGCATCAGGATATATACTCACATATAAGGATTTGGTGCTAAGATCCACAAATGAGAGAGAACATATATCACTTGTTTTTCTGAGTCTGTGTTACTTCACTTAGTATAACAGTTTCTAGTTCCATCCATTTACCTGAAAATTTCATGATTTCGTCTTTCTTTACCGATGAGTAGAACTCCATTGTATAAATGTACCACATTTTCATTATCTACTTGTCATTGAGGGACATTTTTGTTGTTTCCATTTTTTAGCTATTGTGACAAGAACAGCAACCGAAAATGTATGTGCAAGTTTCTCTACAGTAGGATGAGTCCTTTGGGTATATGACTAATTGGGTCATAGTGTAGGTTCATTTTTAGTTTTTTCCTTAAAAAACTCCACACTGCTTTCCATAGGGGTTGTATGAGTTTGTAATCCATGCAGCGGTGGATGTGCGTCCCCTTTCTCCACTTCCTCACTAGCATTTGGTGTCATTTGTTCTCTTGATCTTAGTCTGCCTGGGGTAAGACGAAATCTTAAGGTGGTTTTAATTTGCATTTCCCTAATTACTAAGGATGTTGAACACTTTTTAAGGTGTTTCTTAGTCATTTTTTATTTCTTCATTTGAGAACTCTGTTCAGGTCCTTAGCCTGTCTTTTTTGGGTCATTTGTTTTCTTGTTTCTTTGGGCTTTTTTTTTTCAGTTCTTTGTATATCCTGGATATTAATCTCCTGTCAGATGTGTAGCAGGTGAAGATTTTCTCCTGCTCTGTGGATTTTCTCTTCACTTCCTTGGTTGTTTCTTTTGTTGTATAGAAGCGTTTTAGTTTAATGAGGTCCCACTTGTCAGTTGTTGACTTTAATTCCTGAGCAACTGATGTCCCATTTAGAAAGTCCTTTCCTACACCTTTATCTTGTAGGTTATTGCCTGTATTTTTCGTCCAAGAGTTTCAGAGTTTCAGGTTTCACATTGAAGTCTTTGATCCATTTGGAGTTGACTTTTGTGCAGGGTAAAAGATAAGGGTCTAATTTCATTTTTCTGCAGATGGAGATCCAATATTGTCAGCACCATTTGTTGACAATGCTGTCTTTCCTCCAGTGTGTGTTTATGGCATGTTGTCAAATATCAAGTGGCTGAAACTGCATGCATTCATGATTGGGCCTTATATTATGTTTCATTGATCCATGTGCC